ACCACACTACCCTCATGTCTGTCCCCACATTACCACACTACCCTCATGTCTGTCCCCACATTACCACACTACCAACATGCCTGTCCTCTTGAGCCACAGCACCCTCACAATTTGCTTACCCACATGATACTACCCAACACACGTCTGTCCATTTGCACCCATTGCAATACCCACATTAAAGAGCATACAATAGAGTTAGTTTTGACGTTGATTCCTGAAAGGGATACGTCTTTCACCTACTAGTACACTACTCATGTCAGTTTGGGTATGAATCTTTTTTTTTTCCTAAGAGTAGCACAATTAGGAATAAGAATTTATTTCTCAGTGTGTATTCGAGTTTGTTTTGTGAGGCAAATGTATGTTGAGTGAAGTGCTGAAGCTAGGCGAGGATTCAGAGGCAGGTAATTACTTTCCTAAGTGTATATTAGTTACAGGATGAGAGCTATGTTCGTGGTGTCCCATCTTTGACACTACTGACATTGTTTGCTTACACCATCACCTCACTTAACTTGTTCGAGCCATCTTCCTCTCTGTTTTTGAGTGTAGTACTGTAGTTACATGAGGATTGTGAGGCTGGTGTATGTTGAGTAAAATACTGTAGCTAGGTGAGTCTTATGAGACTGGTGAGTATTGCAACTAAGCATTGTATCTAGGTGGTGAATTGTGAGGCAGGTGTGTTGTGAGCAAAGAACGGTAGTTAGGTGAGTTGTGAGGCAGGTAGGTAGGTGATGTGAGGCTGGTAGCAGGTAGGTTATGTGAGGCTGGTAGGTAGGTGATGTGAGGCAGATGAATAATGTGAAGCAGGTAGGTACATGCTGTGAGCCAGGTCGGTGGTGTAGCCAGGTGAATGGTGTGGCCAGGTGAATGGTGTAGCCAGGTGAATGGTGTAGCCAGGTGAATGGTGTAGCCAGGTGAATGGTGTAGCCAGGTGAATGGTGTAGCCAGGTGAAATGGTGTAGCCAGGTGAATGGTGTAGCCAGGTGAATGGTGTAGCCAGGTGAATGGTGTGGCTAGGTGAATGGTGTAGCCAGGTGAATGGTGTAGCCAGGTGTGAATGGTGTAGCCAGGTGTGAATGGTGTAGTCAGGTGTGAATGGTGTAGCCAGGTGTGAATGGTGTTGCCAGGTGAAAGGTGTAGCCAGGTGTGAATGGTGTCGCCAGGTGAAAGGTGTAGCGAGGTGAATGGTGTAACCAGGTGAACAGTGTAGCCAGGTGGATGTTGTAGCAAATTAAGTTTAAAAGAGGAGATTATCAAGCATAATATTCTTAGCAGTGTCTCTCAGTAGCTAAAGAGTTTGTTTCTTAGTAATTGATATTGGTCTTTTAGGTGTTGACTGCAATTATTTTTTATGCTATTCATATGAAGTGTGTTTTAGATTGTTTATGCAGTGGTTTATGGAAATGTCTTTGCTTACCTTGAAACCAGTAGTCAAGAAAAACCAGTGATTAAATAAAGACAAGGAAAAAAGAGAGTTAATTTGGTTTACTGATAAATTGTCAGGTGACAGGATCTAAAAATAAGTAGACGATTCAAAATAATATTTCACTGTGGTATTAATCCCAGAAAGCAAGCAGTAAACCTTTATTAATAAATGAAGGAATGTAAGATTCTACCAAAATGGTGAGCTTCCAGCAATGCAACCTCTAGCAACATTGTTCATCTATTGGGCACACCAGATGGATATCCAAGTTTACTTGTTTTGCGGCTATTGTCTATTGTTGCTCACTTGATTCAGTGCTTATTTCTTGGTCTTGCATCTGGCTCTTCACCTTGGATTCAGTTTTCCTGTAAATAAAATATGTTATTGCAGCATAAGGCACAGTTGACAAATTAATTTTGACAGGTTTTCGGTTAACCTCCAACAGACCGGCTGGAATTGATATTCCAGAATTTTCATAGCCCCATTAAACTCTTGAAGTGTTAACACAGCCCTGGTTCACCATTATGAGCAGTTTGTAATTTTTTTTTTATGAGCTGTTTCTCTGCATGAGAGTTAATAAATATGACAAAATATTTAAAACCTATATCTCCTTGGACATACAGAATTTCCTATTAATTAAATTCTGATAATGATATCAGTTCTTGAAATTTGGATAGAGGACTTCTCTTTTTATTTTATGTTTAGCTTTCTTGTAGCATTCAAACAAAACATTGAACACAGGTGAATGAGAAAATATAACAAATTATCAAAAACCTAATATTTTGAATAATTTGGTTGGGCTCAGTGGTGTCACATGTTTCAAAATGTTTAAATTACTAATTTTTATGTTTAATTACATGGTTTACCATTTTAAGTAATAATTGCCAGAGTTGTCAGATCTTTGTAAGTACTGTATAGGGATTTATAAGTTGATGTCAATTCTCATAAATTTCTAGAGTGAGAGCTTCATATGGTGTAAGCTGCATTTATCTCAGGTAAACCAAAAAAATGTCACGTGACGTCAGCCACTCTTAAGCATTAGAAATTGTGCTTTATATATATATATATATATATATATATATATATATATATATATATATATATATATATATATATATATATATATATATATATATATATATATATATATATATATATATATATATATATATATATATATATATATATATATATATATATATATATATATATATATATATATATATATATATATATATATTATATATATATATATATATATAATATATATATATATATATATATATATATATATATATATATATATATATATATATATATATATATATATATATATATATATATATATATATATATATATATATATATATATATATATATAAACATATTCTAGTTCACAGTACATTATAAAATAAAAAAAAAATGTGCTGCTGAAGTATGTATTGTATTTAATCATAAGACATAATCCATTTTCCACATGAACAATGTTAATAGTTTAAAATGAGAATATGTGTATATTCTGTGTGTTTGTATTGTATGTGTGTGTGTCTTAGTTTCTATTTATTATGTGTTTGTTAATATATATGTATAGGTATATCTTTGTATCCTGAAATAAATTGGTATTGGCCCTGGTATAATGAAATAAGGATCATAAACTGATGTAGACATTGTTGTGTAAATGGATGCCTGACAGTTTTAATTGGTCTGGTGTGCATGCATACGAACATACACACCACATAATCTTTACAAAAACATTTAGGTGATAATTTATCTTTAGCATGCAAATTTGTGAGAGAAGACATTGCTGTACTTTGCTGCACACTGCCTTTCATTATTAATATTGGCAGTACGGACTCTCCCCTTTCTTTATCCCACCTCTACCTGTCTGGTTCCTTGCTTCTTTCCCGGTCTACTGAGGACGTAGCGCCGAAAATCTAAATCTCTAATCGTTATACAGTTTTTGCAAGTCTATTTTTTATGTCCTAATTCAATTGCAGTAATATTTGTTCATCATTCCAACAATGCAATACAGGCAAACCTTTTAATTTTCCTTCTGAATGTATTCTTAATGAATCTGGTCCTTTATCTTATTAAAATTGAAATGACTATATCTAATTATCGCTTAATATAGTCACCATGTGTGTTTCAACCTACATAAGTATTTTTCGAAGGGGTTACTTCAGTCTGTCCCCGACTTCATAGAATCAGAAATATTGTTTCAGTTTGCCTCTAAATCATTTTGTAGTAAATATATTTTAATCTGTTTCTTGACATGGATTCAGTTAATTAGCCACTGTTTTTATATCTTCCTAAATATAAATAAATCAATATATAATACATTATATTTTATATATACTGAATATGTATATATGTTGAGATATTAAATAAATAAATAAATAAATATATATATATATATATATATATATATATATATATATATATATATATATATATATATATATATATATATATATATATATATATATATATATATATATATATATATATATATATATATATATATATATATATATATATATATATATATATATATATATATATATATATATATATATTAAAATGTATCCTTCTTTCATGTAATTTTTGCCGATAAAGTATCAGTAAACTATTTTTGTGTTGCTGCCCATAGATGGCTTTTTATGTATTTTAAAGTAGGTAATTAATGTTTTTTTATAATTTATGATGTACATTATAAGGAGGAAGTCAAGTCCTTCCATTAGTAGCATATATACAGTACTGTATATATATATATATATGTTTTGTTGCACATTTTCTATGGAGAACACATTGTAATACCTCGTGTGTACTCTTACATAATTTAATGTTTATGCATTTTAAAATTGCATAGTTTAAACTCGTAAATAATAATAGATTTGATGAACTTTAAAGAACGGTTTTAAAAGAATTTATATATAAACGAAGAGCGGGCTGTCCCTACCTCATTTTTGCTATAATTTTTCTCTTTTGGCAAAGAATAAAAACTATTGGTTTCCTCTACTGGCATTTCTCAGTTCGTCTCCTCTGAAAACTTATGGGCCGGCTCGGAAAAAGAAGCGAATTTTCGTTGCACCTACAAGCACACACTAGAATTATGCCAAGTCGTGTGACGATCACAAATGGCAGCGTTTAAATTGCGAAATACGAGTGGTTACGTGCGGTCAGGAGTCGAGAGGAACTTGCGAGCCTCCGATATACAACCCGAAGTTTTCGAACCATCTTTTGAGGAGAAATGCGGAGGGCAGCCCCGACTCTTTCACGTCAATAGGAAAGTTCACTTGGGAAAATTGTTTTTTCTTCTTTGTTAGAAAGTAAAGTTCGAAAACTACGGGTTTATATGCCGGGGCCCCAGCTTCCCATACTCTGTGAAATTAGTCTTAAATCATAACGTTTTTGACATATTTTGCGGTCTTTTTGACGTTTTTATGTTGACAAAAGTTCTTGACATTTTGTATGCCACGTATTTTGTTTTTGTTTTTAGTTATGGATTTGTCAATGTTTTATTTTTGGGATCCATCAACACATAGATGATTCTTAATAGATCAATTCTTTTTCTTTACAGATATATTTTTACTATAGTTAGCTACCTCATCGGCGTCTTCATCTTCGCTACAATTGTTGGTAAGTGATGAGTGCATATTTAGCATGTTGAGTGCTGAGTTCATATTGAGCATGGTAAGTTCTGAATGCAAATTGAGCATTAGAAATCCAAATTAATAATTTTTGACACATAATGATGACCCTCCTTAATGAATGATGATACCCTCAATTCAAAAATATCAGGAAGTGATGGATTATGAACATGATCTCATCTCTTAGTCTACAGTTGACTCTCCTCTGTGTACAAGTCCAGTGATGTATTTACAAAATTCACTATTTATGGGCTAGATATATATTTTTTTTTTATATAAACAAGTTTACTAAATACAAGCTGAATTCAGTATTCACAAGTTGGCACCAGTGTGTATATATATTTTACACATATTTTCAATTCTTGTATGTAATGCCAGTTTTTTGTGTGTTTATGTACAACTTTGATTACACTCTTGCATTATGGCACCTTCGAAATGTTCTGTATTATGACACCTTACGAAGGTTCTATATTATTATACAGTATCTTCGAAAGATTCTGTATTATGATCTTTCGTAAGGTTCTGTATTATGACACCTTCAAAAGGTTCTGTATTATGATCTTTCATAAGGTTTTATATTATGATGTTTCATAGGGTTTTGTATTATGATATTTCATTAGGTTCTATACTGTATTATGATCTTTCATAAGATTCTGTATTATGATCTTTCATAAGGTTCTATATTATAACACCTTTAAAAGGTTGTATATTATGACACCTTTGAAAAGTTGCATATTATGACACCTTCAGAAGGTGCCTGCTGCACATTTAGACATGTTAATTAAAAAATGAATGGTAATGTTTACTCTTATCTGCAGGGCTGTGGAAAGTGTATATCTGCTTTATAAAGTATACATTATTTTTAACTAGGAAATGGCAGCAGTTACGATATTTCTGTATCATTGGGACTGTACAGAAATACTTTATACCGTATTTATTAATTTTGATATTAATAATGTGCATATAGTGTAAATGTTTTATAGAGAGATAAGTGGGAAAAAGTGGATTTGAGGTCTGTGGGATACATCAGATTTTCTCCCAAGTGGTTTCCCATTCCTGGGGGCAGGAAGCCTGTTATGTTTATTGAGGTCTGCTAGCAAACAACTGACCATTTCTCTGGATGCAACCCACAACAGGTGAGTAACTCCAAAGTACCTACTTACTGCTGGGTGAACACAGGCTTTGGATGCATGGAAACGTACCCAAATGCCTCATTCTGCACTGCAGTTGGATCCAGGACTAATTAGTTGTGTGTCAGGTGGATTCATGGGATGGATGTATGTATGTGTGTATATATGTTTATATATTTTGGTTTTATATAAAGGGGATCCTCACCCTTTTGAATTCCGGGATGGCCCAGAGAGATTGTGTTTAGTGGAAATTGCTCAGTGGAACATAAAAATATTTAATTAAGTGAGGATTGTTCATCCAAGCTTTTGCGGATGCTGAGTATTAGGATGAAGTTGTGTTAATATTATCCATGATCCACCTAATCCAATTATAAACAGGGAGGGACTGTGTGTTGTCTGAAGATAGAACTTGTTATAGTTCGTACAGCTGATTTTTGCTGAGTGATGATAGGCTTGAGGTAGTTTGCAGTGGTTGAAATCCATGCACAGATACTGTAAATTTCATAAGGATAGATTAATGAGTACTGGGAAGATGCAACACCACGGGTATAGCTCTCATCCTGTAAGTACACTTAGGTACTTGCATGTATGCATGCAAGTATTCATACATACATACATACATGTTTCATTGAATATGTATGCATGTTCTGTGTTGGTTATTTTCTTGGTTAAGGCTTGGTCCCTAGCCTCTGTTAAGGCTTGATTTCTCCAATTAAATGAAGATGCAAGAGCACTAGTTAGAAGATAGAAGTCCTAAACAAGAAAATAATCAACATGGAATATAATAATAATAATTATAATTCATTGTGTTGGGAGAAGGGAAGCCAGAGTGTATTCATACACATTGGGCCTTTATTGTGGTCTAAAAAACTAAAGTTAATTTTACAATTTTATTTGGTTAAGCTCTCCATCATCTATGGAGGCAGTGGATAGCAAATGGCCAGAAGTACACTACTGTATATGTAACAGATAGAATGAGGTGAAGAATGTTTAGAATGCATTCTAAAGCCAAAATGTACTTTTGACTTTAATAGTTGATGTTGGCTGGAGTAATAGGTTTGGTGTAATGGGAAAGTTCTCTCTGTATCTTGAGGAAGGTAAAGTGTGCCTAAGAGTAAGCTGAATTCATTTAAGGTACAACTGAGGATGGAATAGACTCCAGGAGGTGTTGTGTGTGCTAAACTTACTGGAAGTTTTAAAATCATCATTTTATGATAAAATATGTAAGGAAGATGGGACAATTAAGAACTTAGCCCCCTACCCATAACTGTAAATAAATAAAAAAAAATAGGTAATAATAAACATACACCAAACAAATTTTTAAATTCTCTGGGAAGTGTCTAACATTCTATTTATTTAAGTTCTAGGCCAGATGAAGGTTCTGTGTCATTTTTCTTTTGACTATAACGCTTACATAATTTCAACTGCTGATCTTTACCTCCCAATATGTGTGTTTTTCCTTGCAGGTCAAGTGGGCAATGTGATCACAAATCGTAATGCTAACCGGCTGGAGTTTGAACGGCTCCTAGTGAGTTGAATCTCGTACTTGTTTAAAATTTGGTCTTTTAAATAAATAAATATCCAATTTCTTGCTTTGATACCTGTTTTCAGATAAATAAATACAGCACTATGGTATTGTGTATCATCAACAAACATTAAGGTAAAGTGATTGTTTAGATCACATTATATATTAATTACTATGATTTGATGGCCAGTCATAATACCACATTTACAGATACAGTATATACCAACACACCTCTGTCAGATTCATCTCCAGTTTGGCATACAAGTTAAAAGTAGGTACAATTGGCATTGATGCACAGTCTTAGATGTAACTTTACTGTTTACTTTCTTATTTTCTTGTGGCCTTAAATGACCCCCATGGCTCTTATAACTCCATTTCCCCACCCTTTGTATCCCCATGACCAATGAAACTCATGACTGCCCCCCCCCCACCATCCACCTAAGGGAGCCGGTCGGCCGAGCGGACAGCAGGCTGGACTTGTGATCCTGTGGTCCTGGGTTCCATCTCAGGCACCGGCGAGAAACAATGGGCAGAGTGTCTTTCACCCTATGCCCCTGTTACCTAGCAGTAAAATAGGTACCTGGGTGTTAGTCAGCTGTCACGGGCTGCTTCCTGGGGGTGGAGGCCTGGTCGAGGACCGGGCCGCTGGGACACTAAAAAGCCCCTAAATCATCTCAAGATAACCTTTCCTGTTACCTTTTGTACTCCCTTTGTTGCACCGACCCCCTTCTCCCCCCCCCCCCCCCCACAGTCACTGCTGTGGTGCCAAACACTGGGACTGGGTTACATCAAGCTCTATGTCTCCTAACATAAACAATTAGCCAAGTGTCAATTGTCCACAATTCCAGCAACCTTTCCTCATAATTGTTGAATTGTTGGGATGATCCATTACTTATCAGGGAGCCCAGGGTATTTGAGTCCATCATCATATTTATTCATAGTACATGTACTGCCCTTAACTTCGTCCATTGGCTTTGCCATTAAAAACACAAAACTGTGCATGGTCAGTATCATATTTATGGGATAGGGATCAATTAAATACAGTTTGTCTTATTTATAATGCAGCATTAGGTTTGTGTATACATTTCAGACATTTTCATTTGTAGTATAATTAATGTATGCCAGGTATAGCTTGACTTGGGCAGCTGAACTGTGGCATAGCTAATTAGCAGGTCTGACCTAGAAGAGAACTGTGGCATAGCTAACTAGCATATCTGACCTGGAAGCCTAACTTTATCTCTTGTGTTAGTTTAGGTTTAATTATATCTGGGAGGTGAATACCGTGTGTATTTAATACCGATCATAATTGAATACCGTATGTTACTTCCACTAGGAATGAACACACATTTGGTTGAGTTTAAGATACAAAACAAATAAGTTCCACAAAGTGAAAGTCAGATTCAATTATTTAACCCATATTATGTTGCTGCTCTTATCATTCCTATAATCTCACACATTTAGCATTTTTTATGATGATTTCCATACCAATTTGTGTGGGAGTAATTGTGTGTCATATTGGTCAGGATGGTGCCAAGCTGTACATGCGTCACCACAAGGTACCCAGGGCTATGCAGAGACGGGTCCAGCGCTGGTACGATTATTCTTGGTCCAGGTAAGCTTATTGTTTGTTACCATGAATGTTCCAATGTTTATTAATTCTGGTGGAAGCACCAGTATTACTAGGAGCTTCCCTAAATATATTATGAGTATAGAGAGTTCCTTACATGTATTGTTAGTACATGTAAGCTGGTTTGGTTTGGGGGAGAGCTGGTTTGGTTTGCCCCAAAACAAATTTGTCCTTTTGTACCAATGAAGTTTCTCCATATTCCATTTTGTTGCTCTTGGTTTAGGCTACAACTAACCCATATATCAGCCCACTATGCCATTTATTTTGAGTAGAATGCAAAAAAAAATAGTTTGCCTTCAGGAAGCAAATGTGTCAGCATCTGTGCAGTGGCTCACTTTCACCTGTATTGTACTTTCACTTTCAGGTATTGTAATTACCTGTATTGTATTTATTACTCTTCCTATCTGTCTCACTAGTTGAATATTTATCTCATGTTCTCATTGTTCTCATTACTCTGTCATCTTTGAGAAATATTTAATTCCCGTATTTTTGTAAATTAGTTTTGTGCTGTTTTCAACCAAGTGGTCATTAGCCCTGTTGATTATTTTTCAAACATCTTGAGTTTGTCATAATAGGCTGGCACTATGCTTTTTGCTCATTTAATTATATGACAAAGCTTATAAATGGCTTCCTAATTATGTTAATTTATTATGGATAGGGTAAGGTAAGATGGTTTACTAATAGTTTTCTATGGTTGATCTCTTGACAGAGGCCGAATACAAGGTGGAGGGGATATCAACACTGCCCTGGGACTCCTGCCTGACAAGCTGAGAACTGAACTTGCATTACATGTTAATCTCCTCACTCTCAAGAAGGTACACATATACCATTTCCATCCTTCCTTTTATTCTATATACACTCTATGCTACTGCCAGTTCTGTTCTAATTTTACTCGGCTTTTCTGCTATTGAGCCTTTTTGCTACTTATATATCAAATAAATTGGTATCCATTGGCACCGTCCTTCAGTTTACCACACCGGGATGTATAAGACAACAGTGAGAATACCAGGCTCCCGATGACAAACTCGGCATGTATATAAAAAATATATATATATATCTTGTACCTAGTAGCCAGAATGCAGTACTCAGCCTACTATGCAAGCCCTGATTTGCCTAATAAGCCAAGTTTTCCTGAATTTATATATATATTTTTCAAATTTTTTTCCTATGAAATGATAAAGCTCTCCATTTCATTATATATGAGTTAAGTTCTTTTCATTTGAGATAAAACTAATCTAGATATATGACCGAACCTAACCAACCCTACCTAACCTAACATAACCTATTTAACCTAATCTAAACTAATATAAGTACGTCAATAATTTATGTCCTTAACATAATATAATAATAATATTTCAAACAAACGAATTGGTAACAATATTTTGAAAATAAAGAAAATCACTCGGCCTATTAGGCAAATCGGGCCTTGCATAGTAGGCCGAGAAGTGCATTCTGGCTATTAGGTACGACATTTTATATATATATATATATATAATTATAATATATATATATATATAATATATAATTATATATATATATATATTATATATTATATATATATATATATATATATATAGTTATAGTATACAGTATGCATATACAAACACAGGCTTCCTATCCCTGACAATGGAAACGATCATAACTGCTGTTTCTCCAATGTTTGACCAGGTGAGTATCTTCAAGGAATGTCAGCCAGAGTTCCTTCACGACTTGGTGCTCAAAATGAAGGCATACATCTTCACACCTGGTGACCTTATCTGCAGGAAAGGAGAGGTAGCGAGGGAGATGTTCATTATCGCTGATGGCATCCTGGAGGTCATAAGGTTAGTTTAATAATAATACAGTAATAATAATAATAATTTTATTTAGGTAAGGTACATACATAAAGAGATTTTACAAAGTTTGTTGGCTTTATAGATAGAGCTAGTACATACAATGCCTAAAGCCACTATTACGCAAAGCGTTTCGGGCAGGAAAAACATTAATGACTAAAGCTTAAAACTAATGGGTAAAAAGAATAAGATGTGTTGAGTACAAATAAAAATAGAGGTAAAAGAGGGGGGAACATTGTTGAAAAAGCAGCACAAATACAATTACAAATTATTACAGAAAAATACATTCAAACATTCTAGTTTGTTGACTAGAGTTTATTGGCGAGAGAAAAAGTACATGATAGGAAATTCCAGTAGTTACATTGTGTGTGTAACAATGTAAAAGGGCTGTGTGAGAATACCAGTCTTGGATGTTACAATGTGTGTGAAGCTGTCGAGCAGTTTAGTAGATATAATATTGTTCTTCTGACTGCCAGAGGTCATTAGTGACAGAGTGGCTATTTGCAAATGATTACAATTAGCCTATTCATCAGTTATATGTATTGGTCTACTCACCTCTTTACATGACTATTTCTTCCATCTGCTGTCTGGTAATTTTTTGTTTCCTTGTATGTAATTGTCTTTAAAAATGGCTTTTCAGTTTGATTTCATGTTTGTCATGTGTTTTCTAACCACTGTAAGGGGAAAATCTGTTAATCTTAGATCGGTATTCTGCTTCGTCATTTACACATTTGAGGATATTTAGCACAGAACTTCCTTAATAGAGTTTATGGAAGATTTAATATTCATATTTAATATAGTTCTTCAAAACTATGCAATTTTGCTCTATTGTAATGGCTGGTTTTAACATGAAGTAGAGCAACACTTTAAAAGATTGAGAAGGTTGTTGAAACTAGTTAACTATTTTTTTCTAAATCATTTTAAAATGTTGTACTATCATCAGTGCATTATTATAAGCTCTGTTATTATAAGCTGTATAAATTATGAATATTTTATTGGAATAAACTTGAGAAGAAAGCATTACTGCATGCTATAATTTTGTATTATTGTTTAAGAAGCATATATTTTAACTGAAAAATAGAATACAGTATGTTGATAAATAATTTCCTGTGCTAATGTATTATTTCAGTGAGACTGGCAAGGTGTTAACAACAATGAAAGCTGGAGATTTCTTTGGAGAAATAGGAATTCTCAACTTGGATGGCCTTAACAAGTAAGTAACGAAGTATTATTACCGGCACATATATATTGTGATTTCGATATTGATATTTTTTTCCACCATACCTTGTCCAGGCAATAAATTGGGAAGACCTTAGCCAATTTGCTTCCAGCTTCCAGTTTTTAACCGTGGGATGGTTAAGTAAACAGTGTTATTAGTGTGGTATGTCACCTTGGTTTCACCTCTGGGAACCTAATTGTGTGATGCTGTAGGTCTTCATATGCGACAGTTTGTGAGGTAAGTCAGGGAATGATGGAAAAAATAAATTGTCAGAACAAATTTGAAAGATCTGAGCTAGAGAGTTGTGAATGGGGTGCAAATATTTGATTTAAATGAAAAATGGTAAACTGGAAGCAATAAAAGGTGAATAAATGCTTGATTAATAGTTTGATGCCAATTGAGGAATGCAGTGGAGTCCTTTTTTAGAGGGAAGTAAATAAATGTACTGGAGTGCTTTTTTATGATCTAGATGATTTGTTGATGATGGTAGATTGTAAATAAAAGTGGATGACATTTCTTGGAGATGTAGAGTATTTTAAATTGATTGATAATTTGTCACCACAACAAGGTCATTGGTTATATAATCAAATATTCATCTAACCTCTAGTTTTGGTACATAAACCTTGTCTTAATTTTCTAATTTGAAGAACTAAACTGAACATACCAGGGCCTTATATGGCACAACAGGACCACATGGCTGAATCCTAGATAATGAAACATTTTTAGTCTGTCTTCTATCCCAGAACCAAAAGACAGCTTTTCATGGTTCTTTTTCATACTCAGAGGTGATGTAATCTCTTACAACTTCGGTACAAGTTTTTAAATTAGGAATAAACATGTAATTACAGTGACAAAGTTTTAAGTTTCCCTTCCTGTAATCAAGCTGAGAATATTTACTGCATCTGCAGAATGGTTTCCCATAGTCTGGGATAGGAAGCCTGTGAGGCTTATCAAAGCTTCTACGCCAGTTACTGACCTTTTCCAGGATGCAACCCACAATAGTAGTCTAACTCCTGGGTACCTGTTTACTGCTAGGTGAACAGAAGCATTAGGTAAAAGTTTTGAAGTAGAGCCTTACATTATAATGCAAGATATTATGGAAAGCTTGGCTTACTTTCTCCTGTTTATGCAATAAAATATTTCCCTCCTATTTTCCCCACAGACGAACTGCAGATGTGAGATCAGTAGGATACTCAGAGCTCTTCAGTCTTTCCAGGGAAGATGTTCTTATGGCCATGAAAGATTATCCAGAAGCACAAGTAAGTGATTAATTTGGGGAAAATCCTTGAAAATATGCATTTTAAAACAAATCTCTGTTGCTTAAATAGTAGATAATTTGAATAAACATAAACTGCAGACAAGTAATCACCTCATCTCATTTTAATAGGAACTAAGCACAACATGGTTTTCTTTCCTTTGAGAACAGGAGATCTTGCAAAGTCTAGGCCGCAAAAGACTGATGGAGGCACGCCACACAACTTCCAAATCCGGCTCTTCTGGCTCCAGTAAGAGGGGAACACCCTCTCCCAACAAAGACGGGGGTGGCGAGGATAAAAATGCAAAGAAGATAGTCAGTCGGATACGATCTGATGTCTCTGCTATTCGTAATGCCTTCCGGAGGAGCAAGGGTGCTACTAAGTAAGATTAAGATGAGTTTAGTTTGTTATGGTACTGTACAGACTTCTATATTATATGTAATAAAGGTTATGGTGCATCTAAGGAAAATTATAGGAGACAATGTTATGCACTAAATTTGAAGACTGTATTTTAAGTAGTTTCTTTTATTTTTATGTTAAGTTAAGGGCCAAACCTTATGATTATTATCACAAATAATTATATACACGCAAGTTTTTTAGTTGTATTTTCATAACTGTGGAATGATTGTTAAGAATTTGGATTTACATCAACCATAGTGCCTAAACCACTGCTTTGATGTGATAAACTGTCACCAGACAAATGAACTTGAAACCAATCTTTTAGGGTCACTAAATGTTGTTGTTTTTTTATCGTTAAAAAATCTCCCCAAAATAGTCTGTAACGTCTTGTAGCCTTTGATAAAAGGTTGAAAGAAATACAGGAAATATCGTATCCCACAATAGACCATTATCAAATCGTGTGACACAACTTGATAATGGTCCAGGACAGATCGAAGCATCGTCATTTCTCCATTTTCTAATGTAAGGTTTGCTCATCATATCTTCATCCACGTTATTGTGACTCGTCATGCTTTGATTTTGCTTATGGTTTTGGTACAGTCTATAATGAAAAAGACTGATTGTTCTCAGTCAGGTTAGGATAGAAGTACAACCATAATGATGATGCCAGGATTTTGAATTGATGTAGTTTTGTGAAGCTTTTTAACCCAATTGCCCATAGCTAGGGTAAGTAGGAGCAACATCTGGATGGTGAAAGCCATGAGGGGTGGAGAAAACTGAAACCTATCCAGAGAAAATGTCTGACACCTTAAGGGTGCCTATAATGCTGTCCAGCCAGTCTGTATATAATGATGGTCTAGAAAACAATTAAATGATTCTGCTCAGGAAAATATGTTTCCTATTAACTAGGAAGTCTGTTTATATGGAGTCCTTACTATATTAATACTGACAGTAAATACAATTTAAATGAATGGAATTCATGGGTGGTTATCTTAATCGTGATGTGGAAACAGTTGCTGAAGATTGGAGAGCTATCGACTCACTGGCATACTTAACTAGTTGCATTTATGAAATCACTGAGAACACAGTAAACATCGTGTATGTGTGCAATTACCTAAGTGTAGTTACAGAATGAGAGCTACACTCATGGTGCAACCCGTCCTCTCAAAATAACGTCGTTTTTCACTCGTATGCGCACTATAGCCAAAAACTGACGTAATTAGAAATGAAATCGGCTCATGAAAGTGATATACAGGTATTGTCACGTTTTCTGTTTGGGCCCCTCCAGCTTTGTTAGGTTAGGAGTGGACACTTTTAAATAACGTTTTTCATGACGTTTTGAAAGTTAAGGAGAATTTCCTGCCCTCCTAACCTACCAGAGGACCCCTAACTTACTGTTTTGGAAAACAAAAGTCCCAACTTTATTTTCTACTTTTTCATTTTCAAATTACGTTAGTTTTCGGCCATACGGGCAAACGGTTAAATTCAGACATGAATTGTAAGAGGACAAGTTGCATGGTGTCCTGTCTTCCCAGCACTCTTTGTCATATAACACCTTGAAATTACTGATGGTTTTGGCCTCCACCACCTCACCTAACTTGTTCCAACGATCTACTACTCTGTTTGCGAAAGTAAACTTTCTTATATTTCTTCGGCAACTTTGTTTAGTTGGTTTAAATCTATGATCTCTTGTTCTTGAAGTTCCAAATCTCAGGAATTTTTCCCTATCAATGTTATCGATTCTGTTACTATTTTGTACGTAGTGATCATATAGCCTCTTTTTCTTCTATCTTCTAATTTTGGCATATTTAATGCCTCTAACCTCTGTTGTGGTTGCTAAGAAGGTGGAGCACTTTGTTAACATCTAAGTTCACAGCTGAAGTTTACATGCAATAAGTAGTTCAGTTGCATCTTCTTCAAAGGGTGCAACTAGCTAACTCCTTTGAGTTAACTTTATGCCAAGAAAGTGTATACAGTACAGTATAGTGATAATACACTGTAGTAGGGAGGAAATAGTCTTGGCTAGGACTTTGTGGAGTACAAGATCTGCATCAGTTGAGCACAAGGGTGCCACAGCACAGCCTTATGCTTCAACCATCTGAAACACTGCATTTTCAGAAGAGACCTGGTGCTAATTGGATTTTTCAAGTGACATCTTTGCATGACAGAAGCAGTGGTTAAACTTCCTGCTCTTGGACCTCATTGCCTGGTCATGACTCATTTATTTTCTCACACACCATCAAAATGACAGAAGGTAATTCAGGTTATGTCTCTTTTTCTCCTCATTCATTTAATATTAGTTGCTCATGTAAAACTTTGAGTGACACTACTGAGACAAGCTCAGATATTTCTATATTGTGGACATATTAACTGATGGATATCTGACTTGGGTTTCGTGCAAGCAAAGATTACTTTCAGGTCCAGCAATGCTCTAGCACACTGATTCCCAATCAGTGGGTCGTGACTCCAAGAGTGCTGTGAAATGTTTTCTGGGGGGTCACAGAGCCTAATGCTCAACGATTATTAACAAAGCTTTTAATGATTTAATTGCTTCTAAAATCATTCTTTGGCCAATTTCTTTTTAATTACGATAATATGGCAGTTGGTCAACTGCTCAAGGCCTTTTGAGCATTTGAAAAAAAGAGGCTGTGAGTCCAAAAAGTTTGGAAACCACTGCTCTAGCAGGTAACTGGTGCACTTATCTTGTCGGCCACTCTGACAATATTTGATGATATATATATATGAATGGAAGTATACTACTACTACTTGTGAAGTGGGTATAGTAAGATAGGTTGATAAATAAGTACTGTATATAGATAAGTTATACTGGCTTATGTGCAGAAGGTGGGATTCTGTAAGGTTCTGGAGATCAAAGCACAGTTCTAATACCATACAATGTAAACCAGCTCCTCTTCCTCAGTTTCCAAGTTACAATGTACCACTATTTTTCTGTGCTTGCTCTTTCTATATTATATATGTTTTACTTGTCTAAATCTTTTTGATGCTTGTTGCTTGTGGGAATTCTCCTCTTAATGGGAGAATCTTAGAAAACCATCCTTGGCTATTGTAACCACACACAATACATATATATTTTTTGAAGAAGCACTTTGAAATATTTACAGTGAGAAACAAGAATATATGCAAAAAATTAAAGATTGTTTGAGAACTAGAACATTTTAGGCCTTGAACAGGCTTTGTGAATTCTGCTGATAAATAGATAAATATGGTGTACTGTATTTAATATCGCCTGATTAAGATGGTCAGCAATGATGAAAATAATAGAAATGCGCAGTATGACATTAAAAGAAATTAAGGAATATTAGAGTATGACCTTAGATGGAGAAAGATCAGTGGAATTATTATGATGAAACCACATAGGAAAATGGTGGTGGCATTATTTGTGAAGATATGCCAAGGCATATATCAAGACATAGCCAATGAAAAATCAAATTTAATTGACAGCAAATTGGCTGAATCAGTAGATTATATTTTGAGTAAGAGATGGAAAATATGCTGTAGATGAGATTGTGAACAGAACCAAAACACACAAAGTAAACACCAGACAACGTCCAAAAATAGTGCTGGAATTTGATCCCACACCAAGTAAACACCAGACAACATTCGAAAATGGCACTGGAATTTGATCCATGTTATGTTTTCCTGCTACACCACCACCACTATATGCCCTCTGGATGGGCACTGTCTGCCAAGACCATGTCAATTTAGCAACAAAATAATTGTGATATGTTGATCCTGCAATTTAAAAATGAGATACTGTATCTAATGCATACTAGACAAAATTTTCTTAGCCCCCAAGTCTTTACACACTTAAAAAAAATATGAAAAAGGCCTAGCTGCATTCTTGTAAGCTTTCCGTGTTCTGACAAACTTATTCCCTCAAAAGCTTTCATCTGTTCTTCTACATAGCAAAATGTCTAAGAAAATTAAACGAACATGGCACAGACACGAGACAGTTATTCATGTGCGCTTGTTTAACTTAACACTATTCTACAATAAATTATTGAATCTTTTTGACATTCTTTGATAGGACTATAGATAAATATATTGCCTTCAAAATTTTAAAGTTGACACAGATTTTTTTTTTTTTTTTTTTTTTTTTTTTTTTTTTTTTTTTTTATCATAGAAACCTTGAACTGTTTTTCTCCTTCATAAACATAATATAATTTTTTGAAGTGGTACTGTAATATCAAGTTGAAGTCTATAAAATGGTTCAGAATAGTGTATTTCTAGTGTACTGTAGATCCTTACTAATTATAATACGAGATATGACACCTTCACTATATACTGTATTAGAAAAAACCTGGTAAGATGCTAAGGATAAATATTATCTGAATCACTGATCTTTAGTTTTTGTGCTCTTATTTACGCACTTAATATGTAATATCAGTTTGATAATTTTCAGAAGTGAATAAATTTAACACAGGTAATCCAGACGTGTACAGTATATGACACTGCATAGCATTCAATTATGTCTAGGAACTTTCATCTTTTAAGGTTGACCTTATTAAATGAAAACTTGTATTTTGCATTACCACTCAAAATAGCACACAGATAACAATGGCCAGTCTTGTTATCAAGGTTTGTGATAAGACAACACAACTATACATGTACAAACTGTTGAGCAAATATCATTAGTGTACTTTCATGTGTGTGTGTCTAGTTTATGAACCTTTCCATTGGTGTCCCTGACTGTTGATGTGTTTACCCATTACTTGAGCCATTCCTATTGTTTATATAATTGTCAGTCCATCTGTTTATATGTTCTAATGTTTATATACCTTTCAACAATTAACATTTTCCTGACAGTTTCCTCCTGCCTGGGTAGGTATCTTTCTTTTCCAACACTGAATGGCCTTCTGTAAAGCTACAATGTGATCTGACAAGTGTTATGAACATTCCATGTGCTTGTCATGGAGTTGTTTCATAAATCATAGCATCACAAGGTAGGTGTTTGTATTGGATGCATAGCTTAATGCTCTTATTTCAACTCTTATAATCACGCTGTGTTTGCATGTGGCTCCTGTAACTTCCAATCTTTTTCAGAATAGCAGTATTAATCTTAACTAATGTGTGCTTTCTTTGTTCCCCACCAAATTAATAGGCTTTGCTTCTGTTTATGTGATTTTATTAATCAGTACTAAATCTATTTTATGCCTAATGCCCTCTCTCTCTGTCCTTCTTTATCTTATAATTCAAGACTCCTTTTCCAAACTAATGATCTTTTCATAATTTTTTTACATGCTTATCTTTAAAAAATTACAGCACTTGCAGTATAGTCTCTTCATTGACTTCTTCTTTTCTATAAACTGTACATATATTTTAGAACTGTATTAGCTTTGGTATAATCTTATCCTATCTCTAGGTAAACCTAGTAAAAACCTGTCTTGGAAATCGCCTGTTGCTGAACTTGGCACAGTTTCATTTTCCTCTGGCTGTCCAGCACCCTTTCTAGTTGATCTTACCTTCCTTTTTCTTCTAGGTACATGGAGACTCTGGAACAGGACAATTTTACTGGAAGAAAAACGTAAGAATTTTAATTTGGTCACAACTCATGCACTGGCTGCCCTTTTCTTGCTTAATTTTTCTAAAACGAAAATACAATACAGTACAGTACTTAAAATCAGTACTGTTGTCTAGCATTATCTGTAACAACATCTCTGATGTTTCACACACTGGAGGTGTGATTGAAGGAGGTTGTGTCTCGACTTCGTCTCCAACAATTGCACGATAGTGTTTAAGCATTTATTTTCAACAATATTTCGTTTGCAAGTCGATTTGTCGGCTTTAGATGTCACAGATGTGTAGAAATGGGTTGTTTGGTAGGAAACAAGACTGTTTAAGTGCAATCCTCCTTTGTTATAGATGGTGATGTTAATGAGACAGATGAGCATTGAACATTGAATGTTAATTTGTATGTGTAGATAATGAGTAATGAGTTGTAGAAAAGATTTGCTTCTTGTAGTATAGGATTTTATACATGTAGAGAATAAATTTTAGTTTGTAGACAATTGACTATCGCAAGCTTAATGTTGCATTAGTGCTGTATGGATTATGACACCAACAGCATCACACAAAACACAAAACCTTTACATCTTCAGTTATCCAAATATAGTATTTTTCTTCTGAGATGGTCCCCTCGGTAGGTCTTTGAGCTATATGTAAGTCCAGCCTAGCCTCAGGGTGATGCACCAAGCCTCTGAGACTCAGCCTTGTCTACTGAAAGCCAAGACCAGAATCTGGCACGCTCTCTATGAAGTGAGAGGGAGCTTGAATATCAGAGTTCAACCCAAAAATTAAAAAAATACCCACCAGAAAGCATAAATGCAACAAAACAAGCAGCTGCATGAAGAAAATTATATGCCCAAAGGAAACGAACATTGCCACAGATTAAATACCCTACCTGTAACTGTAATGTGTCTGAGTGCCAGGTTAACTGAGGCTCCAGTCAGCCGGTCTAATCTCACTCATTTGTATTGTCACAGCTAGGGGGCATGGAACCTCTGATGGAGGCTCATTCTCTACTTCATGCTTAAGCTTAGTGGTGGCGGCTATCCCTGGAGCATTAGTCTAACTAAGGGGCCATTACTTTGTTGCTGTTTTATGTCTCACTCATGATTGTGTTACATGCCACTCAACTGTGGGCCCAGGGTTTTCTTTCTTGGTAGTTGGCTTGCATTTTACCTACCCCAACATAGATGCCTGCTCTGAGGGTTTTGAGTCCTTTACAATCTGATTCTTCTGGAGATGTCTCGCTTATGTGTTGTGCAAATAATTTTTTCTCCACTGTGAGGCCTGTGAGGTTCTTGCTCTAGCTCTTAGGTACACTCTGCAGGACCCCCACCTCTTCCTTCTCAGTTCTGAATTCATGCTTATGTGAGTAGTTGAACTCTGGGTGCCCCTCTGCTCCAAGCCCTCTTCTTCTGCCATCTTTTCCCCATAGTAAAACCCTGGTCTCATTTTCTCTTTACTGATTTGTTCTTTTTGTAGAAATGCAGACCTCTGCCAATTGCCATTGAGAGTTAGCTCGGGGTGCTACTGAGGAGGGCCCTTTCAGCAATCAAGCATTGATTTTAATGAATCGCCCTTCTCTGGTGGAGGGACCTCAGTACTTTTCTATTCCCACTCTTTTTTACATTTTCCATAAGTTGGAGGGCTTCAGTTCAAGTGGCTTATTCACTTAGTGGTGGCTAGGCACATCATGCTTAGGGTGTTTAACCTGGTGCAATAATCATTTGCCTCATTACCTTTAGGTACCTAATATTCTTCAAATAATTGTTTTGTTGCTCTTATGCTTTCTGTGGGTATTTTTCTCAGTTTTGGGTTGATCTCTGATCTCCAAGCCTCATAATCAGATTTTGGTTCTGATTCCCAGAAGACAAGAGATGGTCTCACAGAGGCCTAGCACATCTCACTAGAGCTTTCCTGGATCAACAATTAGTGTGCAGGACTACCAAGTGTCTCGCCCAAAAAGGCCATTTCATTACACTTATTGCTTGATTTTTACTTAAAATTTTTACAAAAAATTAATTCCTTTAATTAAACAAGATGTAAAGAGCTACATATGTAACATGAACTTGAAGATTAATTAATATTTCTTTTATAAATCTTTATTTAATTTTTATTATAACCTTGTACCTGAAATTTTTTAAGCAAGATCATCTCGGTGAATAAAACTCCAGAATAAATAAATTATTTTGTTTGTAAATTAAATTGATCTCAACTGTCGGGCATTGAGGAGGATGATACAACCAGGTTGTCAGATGGATTTTTCCGTGGTATCTGGATTATGACACCAGCATCACTAATAGTTCTCAGATCTTATGTCTGCTGCCATGCATGATTCCTCTTGTTATTCAAATCCTTCATTTGTCTTTTTTCCTCTGACATCAGTTCATACCTCTCAAAATTTGAATTCAATCTAAAATTCTGTTTGGCTCACTGGCCACCCTTCTACTGAAGTTGAAGCACAAACTTGGCTTATATTGCCTCATGGCATCTTTCTATACTCTACTCCTACCTTGATTCTTTAAACCTGTGCTTGAGTTTATTTTTACATCAATATATATCTGTCTCACTTTCCCTTTTTCTCATCCTTACTATCAGTTTGGGACCACTTGGCTTTCACTCTGGCCTCACTCCCTTCATCTGTCTGCTTTTGTTGTGGCTTACTCTTGCCTGTTTCTCTTCAAGGGACAATGAGACCCTCGAGTTGGATCACCTTACTGGCGACAACCACTCCAGCATTGAAGATGATGTCCCAGCAGTCAAACGTATTCTAAAGTGAGTAGTACTTGTGGTAGTAGGAAAGGTTACAGGTTTAAATTTGGGTTCTGCATTTTAGTTGTGGTGTATAGCAGTCTTGTTGGAATTACGGCAATTTTCTTTAAGCTTATAGGATTACAAGCTCGTCAGTAGCTGTTTTTAGTGGCAGAAATATATTGAATTACTATGCTGGAACATGGAAAACCTGAAAGATTTAAAGATGGATAGATTTAAGATCTGAAACATAATGTTGAGTGGGTGAGAGCTGAGAGCAATATTTGAGAATATTGATACTGGGTATTAAACCGTGTGATAAGCGTTCAGCGGTTAGGGAGTACAGTACATTATTCAGTAAAGATACAGATACAGTAAAATGTATCATGTGAGAGAGCAAAAAGAAGTTTATAAGCCCTCTTTAATAACACTCATAACAGTGATGCAATATATATGTATGTCATCCAAAAACTTACACGTGATTTCCGATCAGATATGCATCATTATTTCGGATATTTTCTCTAAACATAAATTTTATATTATAATAAAATGCAGACTGTTCAAATTACACACCTCATGAGTTGGTGAAGCTTAGCAGGCCATGTGGTGGGCAATGCTTTGCACTTTCTTACATATTTGTTGTGATTTCTTTGTGAATCAAGTGATGTTTGGTGCTGTAACTTAGTGGACAGTGTATATAACCCAATTATACACCAGCAAAATGAGGAGGAGGAGGAGGAGTCAACTAAATGATTAAGGATAAAGAAGTTGCATACTCTAGCATACTTTGTGAAAATATATATAAAATCAAATTTTATGCAAATGTGTACAGTATCTTTATAGTCACACAAAATAAGAAAATTCATTTGTTACTTTTAGTAAATTTTTTATATATTACTGTATTATACAGTAATTCAAAACTATTTATTTTTCATTTACATTTATTTAATTTTATTTTATCATTAATTGTTAAGGACAGAATATGAAAAATAAGTCTTGAAAAAGATGATGAGAACATATACTGTACATATAAAAAAAAAAGTTCTTTTCAAGCTTGCAAACATGCATACTACATACATAGACAAACTTTGTAAAAAAAATATTGTACACATTATGTAATTAAAAATTACATAATCTACTTCTATTGCATGACAAAAAATCATAAAAAATACAAGAGGTGTTAGTGTGAGGATTTGAAGGAAGCGTAAGTGCAGATTTGTGGTAGTGCTGCGTAGAGTAGCATCATGGTATGACCTATGAAAAATGAGGTTTAGAGACTGGGGTGAGGAGAAAATTGAGTGATCGTATTTTGCAAACTGCAGGAGGATTTGGGCAAATTCAACGCAATTGCTGTGTTCACTAATTTGCATATTTTCTATGAAAAAGTCATAGTTTAAAACTCCAAATATGTGCACTGGGCTAGAATTCCGCTAAAAAATAATGCTTAAGAGTCATACTGTATTTCCGATAGGCATTGTATTTTGAAAACTTGCAGGGGGATTTGGGCAAAATCTGTACACTCACTGTTTTCACTAATTTGCATATTTTTGGTATAAAAGTTGGGGATTTGGGCAAAAATCTGTGCAATCACTGTTTTCACTAATTTGCATATTTTTTGTATAAAAGTCGAAATTTAAAACTCAAAATACTGTACAGTATATGCAATGAGCCAGAATTCAGCTAAAAAATAATGCTCAAGAGTAATATTTCCAATAGGCATTGTATTTTGAAAACTGCAGGGAAGAGTTGGGCAAAATCTGAGCATTCGCAGTTTTCACTGATTTGCACATGCAGATATCACAATAGCATGATGCATCAAATGAACAAATCCACAAAGGTCGTGACGAGGATTCGAACCTACGTCTGATGCTCTCGGACATAGGTTCGAATTTTCGTCATGGCTATTGTTGCCGTGTTCATTTGATGCATCATGCTACTGTGATATCTGTGTGTAATGAAGTAAGGGCAAAGAGCTAGAACAGTCTATTGACATAGCTCGAGTGCATGGGGGAATTGCGTAAAACCCTGGTTTGTGTCTCAGAGAGACTGCAGGATCCGTTGGTAAATCAAGATGATTTCCCGGTTGCAATTCTTTTACCATGTCGTTGCTCAGTCGATTAAGCGTCTGGGATGCTCTCAGACGTAGGTTCGAATCCTCGTCATGGCCTTTGTGGATTTGTTCATTTGATGCATCATGCTATTGTGATATCTGTGTGTACACTTAGGTAATTACCTGTGAAAAAGACATTAATATATTTGAAAAGGTTCAGCTCAGAGCAGTGAAAATTATATTAAAACTAAGTCAACCCTCATGCCAAAGAAAGGCTGCAGGCCTCAGAATGAATAACTGCAAACAAGCCATGATAGGGCTCATCTCTCCAAGACCTTTAAAAGATCCAACATACCCATAGAAAAGGCATGTTCAAACTCAACATGCTACACTGTAGGACAGAACTGGTAATGCATTTTCAATCACAGGATAATAAAGACAAGGAATTATCTTTCTGTTAAACCCATAAATACCTAGCTAGTTCAGTTACAGCTAGAAAAAATATTTATTTATTTATATATATGTACAAGAAGGTACAATGGGTTTATGAGAGTAAACAATTGATGTTTTATATAAAAAGAAATTAAGGGAACATCTTTGACAAACCCGTAAAATTCTGTCCCCATAAAGGCCGCTTGAGATTTCACTATTTCTCAGTGGAATTCCTCAGGCCACTATTCCTTGGGAAAAAGAAGGAAAGGTCATTCAAGTAATTATGTTTAATATTATTCATAATCCTGCAGGATAAATTTCAGTGAAATATGTTGCTGATGGGATGGGTAACTGTAAAATTAAGTCTTTGGGATGTTGCTTCGAGATCGCAACACATACCGGGACGCTGTGAGTCACAAGTGAACAAATGTTTCCTTCCAGTGACAGCTGTCAGTCTGCAGCTGAAAGGTTATAGTTCCATGTTTGTAAGCCTCTGAAGTTAACATTTTTAAATGGTCTGATGAAACTATCTGAAGTATCCACAGTGGAAGGGCATTTTTGTACAGTGGTGGGACGTTTTGAACAGATGAGGGCTGATTTGATTACATATAATACCTAACTTAAGCTTAAGACTCAATGAGTTAGATTAAATAATAAATACAACATGTTTAGCTTATGTATCAAAATACTGTACAGCTTTACTTTCAGAAGTTGGATAATAATTCTACAGTATTTATGATGAGAATTAAGAAACATTAATATTGGTTTGTAAATCCTATTTATCAAGTATTGTAGCCAGAATAACTGAAACTCAAGATGTAATGCCAAACTATCTTAAGATGTTAAGGAACTTGTTTTGATAGCACTCTTAACAATAATTTTCCCTATGAACTGAGGCATCATTAGGACAGTCAAGGAATATGAAGGTGTTATCTTTTCACTTTTAGTACAGTACTTCTCAAAATAGGAAATTGTATATTCATCATATTAATATAATTAATCAACAAGATATTAACATTTATCCTGTGTCATTTTATTTTCATTAGAACAATCTCCTGTTTGAATTTTATAGTCAACTTTGACAACTGAATTATCTTCGTGTTTTTCTGAATATTTTGAGGAAACATTCACCATTCTGTTTATCCCATTTTTCTTCATCTTCCTCATTGATACCACCCTCATTTAGATAAACTTCCATTGTAGTTGTTTTATGCCTATCACTTAAAGAAGTTAGCTTTTTGTAAATGTTTCTAAGCTATCCCAGTTGGTTGTCCCTTCATGAAAGCTTCTTCTATGAGGAAGGTAATCACGCTGTCAGGCAAGGTGACATTCTAGGCAATGGTGCTGTGGGATACTCTTTAACAATCTTTCAGGGTCATACGGGTACTAGTGGATACTGGAAATCCTCCAACTTAAGTGAACTACCGAATACAAAGCTCCAAACCATAAACACTCAAAGTATATATGAGCCATCGTTGGTAATCTTCAGATTGGAGTAACTTAGTAAACTATTGGCTGGCTCATTGAGCCTCCTAGTGCTGCCACCAGATAGCAGCACCTGAACTAAGTCCACCTCACTAAGCCTCTTCATAATCATTCCTGTTTTCCATGTCAGAAGGGCAGGTAGAGAATTGGATTAAAGTTCCATTGAAACATATTTTGCACAGTGGATATAATTTTACACGGTTTAATACTGTACGTTAATATATTGGTGTTTATAAGTCTTCGTGTGTTCGCTGCTTTTGCTGGTTTGTTTATAACAAGGGTTTGCTGAGTGAGCATGTTATTCTTTCATGATCCTCTGCTAGATTAGCTTAAGACAAAGGAGATTGGCACTGGTGCCTGCAGCTGTATTACTCACATTACTATACTGTATTACTGTATTACTATGGGGGTTGTGGAGTGGTTGTCTTCCCAGTTCATGCCTTGGCTTCACTTCAGGACTTCTCTTGACTTTTGTTACCAAGAGTATGACAACATGACGTTAACGAATGATAATAATTCTTGCATTTGCAGCTGGGCTTCTCCTAATTCATCCATATACAGTGTGACAACTTTAAATATAATTAGAATATATACACTATTCATTACCATAGGTTCTCTCATTTAATGTTGAACATGAATTAATTTATTGTATACTGTACTAACAATAGTCTCAGGTGTTTCTTTGAATAACTTGTAATGTCTTGGTTCCACCAGGGACCCAAACAGAAAGGATAAACCAGCAGTCCACAAGCGGGTATCCTTCAGGTATTCAAATATTAAGAACCTTTAGATATACATTAGCATTTATCACCAAGTGAGCCTAATGTAGATTCTAAGTCAAACAAGACATCGGCAATTGTACATTCTTGCACTAGGGAATGACAGCTTATTCCTCAGCTGGTGGTATTACCCTAGTTCAGCATGTCACTAATCAATTACTAGGAGGACATATCTACTGTACAGTGCTTGAAGTTATTACGTTAGACATCCACCGTGTAAGGTACTGACCGTCCAGGAACCATTACCAGTGTCTGTGTAGCTGAAAGATTTGTGTTGTATTGTTGGTTGTGGAAGACTTCCCAGAGGATTCACATGAAATACCAGTAAAGGAAATTATGCAAATATCATATAATCTATGCTTCAACTTTTATGTGGTCACAGAAAGTATAGTTCATAAGTAGTGTTGGGCACGACCACCATTATAGCACGAGTGTCGAGCAGTAAGCTGGCATTCCTTAGTGTTCTCGTGGATGTCTTAACCTCTCCTTGACCCTCAGGAATTTTGCATGTCATACTGATGCTGGGACCTTGGTGTAGTGGCATTATTCAGGGCATTCACAACTCAACTCCATGATACACTGGTAGCTTGTAACAGTTAACTTCATCTTTATTCATCTATGTTCATTTGGTGTTATAGAATCTTTTTCTTTGACATGTGCACTTTAAAAATGTCTTTTTGCACATATTTCTTGATTAAATTATTGTAATTGCATTTACATATTGTAATTGTTTTATAGTTAGCTAGGATTAACAATAATTAATGTATATTTCTCTGAAGTACTTTGTTTGCATAACAAAGTTTAGTTTCAAAGGTCTGAGAAATCAAAAGTTCCTTAAGCACTTAAATAATATTTGAAAAGAAATCTGATGTACTGTATTCTAAAATTGTAGAGTGAAGATTTAACATATTTATGTTTATGGGTGTAATGTTCTTGTGTTGAAGGAATGATTGTGAAACTTTCATGGGTATTTTTATCAAACTTTAAGCACACCATTAGCAGCTGGCACTGTTATCTCCTGATACCTCTTTAAAGTCCACCATTCCCTGCACGTCTTTTCTCACGACAAGAAGTTTTTCATTTGTGATCTAGTTGTTTACAGTTCAAACTAGATAGCGAGATTATGCAGCACTGACATGAATTGTAAGATTACAAATTGCACTTATAAAGATCCCTGAACATTTCTTCATTGTTTTCTCTGGAGGGAACGGAAGCAGATGTCTTCTGGCTCTTTTTCACAGGTTAAGATCTTTTGCTACCATTTCTTATTTTAAAGAATCACTCTACTTGTTTATGTTTATGCAAGAACATGATCCCCCAATTGTTTTATGTTCATGTCCACAAATACCGCTGGATATACAGAGGAGCTAACAGTAAAGAAATAGTCCCAAGCATCCCACCCTGCCCACGATTTGAACTCAGGTCTTCTAGTTTACAAATCAAGTTTGCCAACCACTACATAGGGTACTCATGTCTTGCTGGCAAGGTCCCATACCAAGATGAAACATTGTACAGTAAATTACCAGATCTCATCTTCGAAAGTGTGGCTTCAGTCATGCTGGGTATGTATGTATTTATGTATATGTATACAGGTATATATATGCATATCACTTTATACACACACACACACACACACACACACACACACACACACACACACACACACACACACACACACACACACACACACACACCTGTGTGTGTGGAACCTGTGTAAGGAATCATTCAGAATCTTGTACACCACATATGTAAGACCAATCCTGGAGTATGCGGCCCCAGCATGGAGCCCCTACCTTGTCAAGCACAAGATGAAGCTGGAAAAAGTTCAAAGGTATGCCACTAGACTAGTCCCAGAACTAAGAGGCATGAGTTACAAGGAAAGGCTGCGGGAAATGCACCTTACGACACTGGAAGACAGAAGAATAAGGGGAGACATGATCACAACCTACAAAATCCTCAGGGGAATCGACCGGGTAAACAAGGATAAACTATTCAACACTGGTGGTATGCGAACAAGGGGACACAGGTGGAAACTGAGTACCCACATGAGCCACAGGGACGTTAGAAGGAACTTTTTCAGTGTCAGAGTAGTTAACGGATGGAATGCATTAGGCAGTGATGTGGTGGAGGCTGACTCCATACACAGTTTCAAATGTAGATATGATGGAGCCCAGTAGGCTCAGGAATCTGTACACCAGTTGATTGACAGTTGAGAGGCGGGACCAAAGAGCCAAAGCTCAACCCCCGCAAGCACAAATAGGTGAGTACACACACACATAAATAAATAAATAAATACTATATATATATATATATATATATATATATATATATATATATATATATATATATATATATATATATATATATATATGTGTGTGTGTATATACATATTATATTACATATATATACAGTTGTTGCATATAAGATATTGTGCTAGCCATATCTAATACATGTAATTATTTTAAATATGGCAATGTAGTAACATATAGTGGCTGAATATATATTATGGTAATGCTTTGATGCAAATGAGATGGCATTTCTGGGGTCATGTTTCATTGGTATATTTGAACGGTAATATTTATCAGAAGGAGAAAATCCATTTTTTTTAAGAATGTTGTAAATATTTTCAACTATTAATTTAGGTATTACAGTAGCAAGATTCACAAGGTAAATCTTGTTTCTCGCTGCTCCTGGTACTTGCGTTTGGATCATCTCGTCTCGTCTCTTGGACTGAGTTTTGGATATTACTCTCCTACATCATGTTTCTCTTTTTTAAAAAAGGCTTTTGGAAAGCCTTTTTAAAACCCAACTTTCTTTGCAATTCCTCTGAAGCACAAACATTATCATTATTCTCCTATTTTATTTTCTCCCTCATTCCAGCCAGTGTTCCGTGTGTGATGGATGGAGACAACCACTACTTCCTTCTTGCAGCAAAATTTACTGTTTTTCTTTTAACAGAATGCAATGAAAAGACCATTTGTATAATTGGGATAACTAATAATATTGAACACATAGTGAAGGCAGAGGTTACATGTTCTGACACACAAGATAGAGCTAGAGAAGTTGACAAGTTATGAAACACAAAGTAGGGTAGAGTGGGATGGGGCAACATGTTCTCGTGCAGAGTGTACTGTATGGTAAAGGGGCAGCATGTTCTGACACACAAGGTAGGGAGGGAGAGGGGTCTACATGTTCTGACACTGTCAGGTGGGAGAGAGGACAGTGTGTTCTGACACACTAGGTCAAGTGGGAGAGAAGGCAGAGTGTTCTGACACACTAGGTCAGGTGGGAGAGAGGGCAGTGTGTTCTGACACACTAGGTCAGGTGGGAGAGAGGGCAGTGTGTTCTGACACACTAGGTCAGGTGGGAGAAAGGGCAGTGTGTTCTGACACTAGGCCAAGTGGGAGAAAGGGCAGTGTGTTCTGACACACAAGGTCAGGTGGGGGAGAGGACAGTGTGTGCTGACACTGATATTTGTCAGATAGTCTGAAGAGACACTGGAGTATCTTCACAGTAAGCAAGGAAGAGGTAAGAGAGTGACTTGCCAAGAGTTGAGATTAAAAGGCACTTGACAGAATTAGACATAAAGGCAGTAAGACCAGATGAAGCAGGTGAGGGGGGAGGGGTTTAGTTTTCAGAAATTAGCAGATATTCACAGCCCCTTTCCTGTGAACATTATTTTTTATGATGATTTAATGATTTTTCTAACAGATATGGTAAATGAACCTTGTTTACTCTTTCAAACCACTTCAAAGGTAGCATTGGATTCTTTGATTGTTATTACTTTTTGTTTTGGTTTCTTATGCTATTCCATAACTATTTGCACTTGATAAATATACTGTTCATAACCACGGCTCACCTCAGTAAATAAGGATTTCAAAGAATTTAATTCAATGTAACCCAAACCATAAGTACTGTATGTATGATGTTATGAAGATAAACTTATGGCTACACTTTACTAGTAGCTTTGATATATGAAATACTCAATTTACTGTATTATCAAATAGAGTAATGTATTATTTTTATTTCAAAGTATTTATTTTACTCAAGACTGAAACTACATGCTCATATACATTTTTTCTCCTTCACACTTGCTTTTGTAAATGCAGTGTACTGTGCTCCATAGTTATGCATGCTTTTAAGTATATGGTTATGGAAGATGAAGGGCTACTTCATTCAGTGCACCCTCCTGGTATATTGTCACATGTTTGTGTCTTAGAAATTGCATTTATATATTTTATAGGTGTTTCATTCTTTGTATCCTCCTATTTATTTTGCTCTACAATATACTATATATGGAGCTGATTACATGATGTATATTTCATTATCTAAACCTTGATTTCATACCAGTATATAATTATCATCAGCAAAACACTTGTTAAACCTTGGTTGCCTTCCGAAGTTCACATGACATATGCCATTTTATTGCTAACCCCTGCTGCTTGCTGTCTTTCTCAGGAGGATCAGTGGACGAAGCGGCAGCGATTCTTCTGCAGGAGGAGCACGAGGGGTCTTAAAGAGAATGGCTCGAGTAACGAGTGATGAGATGAATCAGACAGTCAGTCCAGGCAGGGCAGCATCAAATGAGGAGACACAGGGTGTCTTAGGGGCAGGGTTGCCTCTGCTCCAGCGTCTCAAACTCCTTAAAGAAAAAGAAGAAAGGGAAGAAAAGGAAAGACAAAGAATAAAGGAAGAGGAGGATGCTAAGCAACAAAAGCAACAGGACCCTCCAAAACAGGAGGAAGAACCCGAAGTCATTGGTGCTGGTTTGCCTCTTTTTGCACGGTTAAAGCTTTTAAAGGCCAAAGAAGACAAGGAAAGAATGGAGAGAGAAGAAAAAGAGAGAAAAGAAAGAGAACAAGCAGAACAACAAAAGGAAGTGAGCACTAGCCTACCTGATGCTGTTCCCAAGAAAATTACCTCACCAGTCACTATTGTTCCTGCCAAATCACCTCAGCCTCAACAAGAAACACAAGCTACAAAGGATAAATCCCATCTTGTTGATGTAAAACCACGACCAGCAGGAATGCTCAAGAATAGACTGAGAGCAGCAGTGCTTACATCAGGTGCACCTCCGCCGACAACTCCAGTAACATCAGAGACAAGAACAGACACACCAGCAGGCACACTAACAGCTACACAGTCATCAGCACCAGCAAATTTAACACAATCATTGACATTAGTAAGACCTGCTACAACAGCTACAGTTACAACAGAATCAACTGGAACCACAGATGAATTAGAAAACAAAGATCTAGAAGATTTGGACACCAAACCACAGTTAAAGAGCCCGATAAATGACCTCAATAAAGGTGTAGAAACCAAACACAATCCTGATGGAAGTAGTGAAAAAGTTGCAAACAGTGGTAGTTCAGTTATATCAAAAGATATTCATGCAAACAGTAATAGTGTTCCAGGTAGCCAGGCTTTAGAACGAGCCTTTGGAAAACTGTTATCAAAGAAATTAAACACTACACCCAAGGAAAGGACCAGTGTAACAATATCAGATAAGTCAATGGTAGAATCCTCAAAACTTGCTACTATGAAAGATAAAATTAGTCGCAGTGATAGTTTTAAGAAAGCCATGGATGAAGGTCGTATACGAAGTACAGAGGATCATGATTTAAATATAAAACCCCATGAAATTGTGAATAAGTTACAAACAACAAGAGAAAGTGATAGTGAAGATATAGATCATGCTCAAGAAGATAAAAAAATAGGGGAAAGCCAGAGTGAAAATGAAGTATCTCCTGTGAGTGAAGAAAAACCCATTTTAGTTAAAAAACAAAGTGAAAGCACTAAAATTAGCAGTGATATAATTTCAGTGTGTGATATGGATTCGAAGTCTATTAGAGGGAGCTCAAAGGAGAAGGAAGGTTCACCCAAAAGTCTCCAACCTCAGTCTACAGAAAATGGAATTGCATTTCGGCAGTTTCATAAAGTCGACTCTTTAAAGGTAACTCTTAAAATTATTGTTTCTTTGTTAATTTAATTCTAATAATATGTTTATTTTAAATTAAAATGCACAGAAATTGTCAAATGCTTGTATAATATGAGGGTCTTTACAAGCACACCCAGAGGTGGTACCCCCTATATATAGTGTTACTGTATGTGGATACAAAATATATATATATATATATATATATATATATATATATATATATATATATATATATATATATATATATATATATATATATATATATATATATATATATATATATATATATATATATATATATATATATATATATATATATATATATATATAATATATATGTTTGTATGTATGTCATACATACATCAGTGTCAGACCATGAAGGAAGGATTGAAATAGGAATTTCCTTAAGTACTTTTGTATTTAATAATACTGTACATCTTCAGAAGGATGGATTTACAAATCAGTAGATTGGTTATATAGGCAGGAGAGAGGTGAAGTGAAGTGAAGTACAGTGACATATACTGTATATGAATAGGATTGGGTGGATATAAATAGGAGCTGCATCATATGGACTAATAGGCTCATACGTGGATGTTAATATCATAAGATAGTGGACATTAACAAGGTATTAGTGAGACAAATGTGTATCAATGATCTTACTCAAATTGCCCTTTAACTGATCAATCAGAAATTAATCTAAATTATATAAATCACTGCTAATGTTCCAATTACATGATTTTGTAATCTGTATTAAAGCAGATTCAATTATGTTCCTATTCAAAGGGGAATTTACAATTCGTTATTGAAGAAGCCATCTCTTAATCAATTTGGCGAGAATTTTCTGACAAATGAACAAACAAAGCATTAGACAGTTGGCTGTGTCTTACAGAGTATTTATGTTCATATATGTCATTGTACCTCACTTCAATTCACCTCTCTCCTGCCTATATAACCAATCTATGGACTTGTAAAGCCATCCTTCTGAAGATGTATTATTAAATATGAAAATACTTAAGAAAATTCCTGCTTCAATCCTTCCTTCGTGGTCTAACACTCACATTTTTCATCACATGTTAATTTTCGTGATTTACACATCATACATACATACATATATACATATACAGAATATATATACTATTCATGTGTTTACAGCATATCGAAGATACACTAAAGAAATTCCAGAGGTATGCTATGAGACTAGTCCCAAAACTCAGAAGTATGAATTACTGGGAAAGATTGAAGTACAATAATTAAGCCTCACATTCCTGGAAGATAGAAGAGTTAGGGGAGATGTTATTAACACATTGAAAACTTTCTAAGGGATTAATGGGTAGACAAGGACAAATTAATTTGGATGGGTGTAACTAGGACAACTAGTTAGTGTAACTAGTTAGTATAGTGTAACTATACACTAGGACACATTTATAAAAATGGTAGGTTAAGCAGATAAAGTGTTTCAAATAAGCTACTGCACTGTATATACAGTACTAAGTAATTAAGCTGTAAATAAGAACATATCTTTAATCTGTGAATATTGAAATGAATTGAGTCTTCACATAAAGTATACTTTGAGGTGTAATAATAGAGTTTTTAACATTTCTGCCTTCTTTTCAAGCTTGATGAATTTGAGGTAAACAAGTGTGGTAAAAATATCCCGTTATATATCACTGTTTTGCCACTACAGGTATATGCTTTCATAAACACCTTCATCGTTATATCACTTGGCAAAAACCTGCATGTTACTCATCAGAAACATTGACATTGCTCATCAAAGACATGTACATTGTTCATCAAAAACATGTACATTGCTTATCAAAAACCATGCATGCATATTGCTCAGCAAAAACCTCCACATTGTTCAGCAAAAACCTGCACATTGTTCAGCAAAAACCTGCACATTTTTTCAGCAAAAACCTGCACATTGTTCTGCAAAAACCTGCATATTGTTCAGCAAAAACCTGCATATTGTTCAGCAAAAGCCTGCACACTGTTCAGCAAAATCTGCACATTGCTCAGCAAACATTGGCATATGGCTCAGCAAAAACTTGCACATCATTTAAATTAACAAAGTATAACACAGAGAAGCTCTTAGATGCTTTTTAACATGTAAGAAATATGAATTAATATAATAATGTCTACTTGAATTTAGTCTTACTTTTTATTCTTCACAATACGTGCAGTTTGCATGAAGGTTTTTTCTCCCAATGACTTCACGAGTGGTAATGTTGAAAGATATGGCACTCACAGTGGTGCATCAATGATTATAATTTGGCAGAGATTGAACGGTATCGATGTCTTCTCTTTGTGTGAAGATAAAGACAAAACTAAACATATGAGGGGAAATGGACTCAGGATGGCAAGATGAGGAGTTGTGTTGATGGTGGTAGCAAAGTGTTGCTGTTCTATGGAAAGTGTGTGGTGTAGTCAAGAGACTGAGTTTTGAAGTATGAAGTCGAAGTATGTTTGGGAGTTATTCACAATTTAGATAGGTTAGGGTAGGATAAGTTAGAATACATTAAGTAACATGGGGTTAATGTGTATATGGTTAGGTTAGGTTGGGGTAGGTTAGTTTAAGATGGGTTATGTTATGTTGTCGTATTTTGGATTGTTACATCTGGGATGTGATTGTATCGGCCTTCTTTAACGTGTCAGTAGTACAGCTTGTTGAATATCTGGGAGTGGTTAGAGGATGTGTCGTGGGAGAGTGTGGTTTTATGTGGTTTTTCGGTCAAAGTGCCAGATCGCTGGGAGGTTTGTACAGCTAGGAATGTCTTACTCTTGGTGCCAGTGGTTGTGGTTTGTGGCAAGTCAGCCTGGAGAGTGACTTGGGTAAGGTGTGCTAAGAAGTTATATAGGAATTTGTCCAGCATCAGTTCAAACGATTTGTATATAGCATCGGTAGCTGTGTTAGGGCGGATGTCATTGTCTGTAGATGTGGGTCAGCCTCAGTGATGGGTTGGTTTACTTATGTAAAGAATTTAGTTAGGAGTCAGTCCAGTGCTTTTTCTAGTGTGACAGAATTTAGGCTTCTCGAGGAAGTATTATAATGAAATTAGTAAAATCCAAACATATATCTCATATTAGAGGGGGTTGCCCCCATAGTCCTATTCTGGGCCATGTAGCTAGTGGCAGGAAGAAGAAAATCATGGATTGGATGGGATGAGATAGTGAGGGGAAATTTTGATGAATTCTTCCCAATCTATTGTGAGACAACAAAACATGAAGGATAGCTCATGATTAGTTTTAAACAAGGTTAACCTTATTCTTCAAAAGACACTTCATAACATTTTGGCAAATTTCTCATTCCTGCTCCTTCTCTTTCTTGATCCTAACAATGATTTTTGCTGTTTCTACGACCATGATCTTTAAAGTTATGTACTGTATATGTTTGTATACAATACAGTAAATTCAAAATTATGTATGTGAATACATAAGGATTTCCTCATTGTAATTCAGCAAGCTCGACTTTGTAAATTTAGCATATAATTGTAACGACTGCAGTACCAGTTAGTTGTAGGATAACTGTTGAGTGCAATGTCAGAAGGGTACATAAGGGTATGTAAGAGTACACAAGAGTACATAAATATGAGATGATATCCCCAAAATATGGTGATTTAGTCACACAGTAGAGGGAAAATAAGCCCAGTTGACATACGTCAACTGTCTTAACCCCTGCACTGTGCGCCTGTTTAACATGCTAAAAACGCAACTATAAAACCTGAGATTTTACTTTAGTGGTGTCACTCTCAAAGTATTAATTATCACCTCTAAATATCAGAAGTGAGGAGCACTTGACCCTCAGCTCTGAGATACTAGAGATGATGTAAGGAAAGAGGGGGAGAGGATACCTTACATTTCAGTTACTGCAATTTATAGCTAAGTACTACACACAAATAAAGATGACACTTCTTTAAATACAAGAAGAATTCAGATGCACTGTACATAACTCCTTTAAGTGTATTGAGTCAGATAAACCTTCTAATTCATGTGCTAACATATATTTCCTTAAACACACATGACAAGAAACACACACAAACTAGATTCATTTATCACTCACCATTTAATATACTGTATGGTGACACTGGGAAAAAACTGAGATAAACACCATAGTACAGAAGGGATGCCTCACAATGCGGCCCAATACACTTTCTTTGATCAGAAACAAATTTCCTTTTTGGGGATGAGGTGGTGTATGGCTACACTGCACAAAAGCATGGGAAAGCTACTCTTCTAAATGTAAGCATTCTTTCCCATACACAACTGTTGATTGACGGTTGAGAGGCGGGACCAAAGAGCCAGAGCTCAACCCCGGCAAGCACAATTAGGTGAGTACAATTAGGTGAGTACAACTGGATGGGTGGCAGACATCTCAAGTGGATGAAAAATGTTCTAATCAACAGACAAATGAGGGGCAGTAATCAGAGACAATGTATCAGACTGGAAAAAACATGCAACTTTAAGAACATGAGGTCATAGATTCAAGCTAAGGAAATAAAAGGTGCTGAAAAATATAAGATTCTGCTTTGCAAACAGTGGTAGATGGTTAGAACAAGTTAAGCAAGAAGGTGGTGAATGCTAAAAAAAAATAACTTTCAAAACATCATATGACAAAGAGTATTGGGAAGAAGGGACACCACAAACATAACTTACATCCTGGAACTACACATAGATAATTATACTAAGGTAATTATATGGTATCAATTCTTGTGGCTAGAATTGTGATTCTAGCCACAAGAGAATTGTTGTTTTTCCTTGGAGACCTGGGATGGGGTATGAGCACAGGACAATGAACATGATTCACATGGATGCATTTTGTATGACCTCTAGGCTTCATAGGGTAATTATGGCTTGTTGCTGATGCATGTGCCTGGCAACAGTAGGTGAGTTTGCTATGAATGCAGGTTGTATGAAACTGAAGCAGTATTTTGTGATGTGCTACCACAAGGCACCATTGTGAGCTTAGAGGATGGAGAGTTTTGGCAGGGCTGCTTGTTTCAGATGTCTTACTGTATATG